GTATGAGAACTTGCAAGAATAAAATAGTATTGCGTGTTCAGGGAACCGTGAGCAGTTTACTATTGCTGAAGAGTCAAGGCTAAGGCATGATGAATAGTGAGAGATGAAGTTAAGCAAGTAGTATAGGGAAAAAAGCCTAGATTGGACTTGATCCTGCAGGTGATGAGCATCAAGGAAAGATTTTTAAAAGCTTCTTCTGTTTGATTTTTTTTTTTTTAAATATTTCTAACTTACAGAAATGTTAGAAGAATTGTAAAAAGAACTCTGGTATACCCAAGTTCCCCAATCACTAACATTCTACTACATTTACCTTGTCATTCATTTTTTCTCTCTGTATATTCTGAACCAACAATACAACTATAGCATAACTGTCAAAATCGGAGAATTCATAAGGGTACAATGCAACCTAATTTCATTCAGAGCAAAAACACTTTCTCTTTTGGTGCAAAATCCACCCCAGGGTCAAGTGTTTAGTTGTCATATCTCTTGATCTGGGACTGTTCCTCAAATCTTTCCCTGTCTTTTGGGACACTGGAATTTTGGAGTACAGGGCAATAATACTGTAGACTATCTTCAGTTTGGGTTTGTCAGATGTTTCCTCATGATTAGAATCAGTTATGCATTTTGGGCAAGAACACCACAAAAAATATACTGTGTTCCCAGTGTTTCATATCAGATGGTACACAAAGTCGATTTGTCCCATTACTGGTGATTTTAACTTTGATAACATAGTTAAGAGAGTATTAGCAAGGTTTCTCCATTTTAAATGATATTTTATAAGTAGTTACACTGAGACTACATGAATATTCTGTTTCTTAAACTTTCACCCAATTGTTTTAGCATCCATTGATGAGTCTAGCCTGAATAAATTATTATAACTGTTGTCAAAGGTAATTTTCTAACCCTACCTTTCCTTCCAGATTTGTTAGTTGACATTCTATTGTAAAGAGCTTATTTTTGTCCCTCATTGGTTTATTTATATATTTTTATCAGTATGGGTTCCTAAATTATTACATTTTTCTCATGGGCTATAATCTGATACTATAATTATTTATGCTGATGCTCAAATTGTCTCCTGTTTGGACAGTGGGAGCCCCTGCAAATTGGCTACTGTATCCTTTTCATAGTCTCCATCATTTTTGACCTCTACCTTATGTTCTGGTACAATGAGATTATCTAGACTTATCTTGTACTTTCCTTGCTCTGGCCCTGGAACGAGTCAATTCTCCAATTCCCCAAGGAGCCCTGATTCTTTTTAGTGGAGAATTGTATTTAGAAACAAAGATCTGGAAATTAGGTGTGCTCATTGCCATTAGGCCCTTTTAGGGGTCAGAGCTTTACACATACATGCACACACATTCATCTATACTATCCATCTCCTTAGCTATCAAAACCTTGAGTTGACATCAATATTTCTAAATCCAACAACACAATTCATTCCAGCCTTCATTCTTTCCATGTTTGTAACTCTCTTCTCAGACAAAGAAAAACTTGGCTCTCATTATCCTTCATATAGTTAGTTATTTACTCGTTTCCCCTTTATGTACCAAGCCCCTGATCCCTTTGACTGTTTCCTTAGCTTTGGCCTTGGTGGTTACATAGATCCCCTTAACCTTGACTAGTAACTTACCTCTGTTTACTTGGCCCCAACTCTGCAGGTTCTGTCCACCTCTTTGACCCTGGCTCTAGCTCTGCAGGCCCCACATTAATGAAGGATTTTAAGAAAGGGAAAGGCATGCTCAGATTTGTCTCTTAGAAAATCAGCTTGATATCAGGGTAGATTCAATGGATTAGAGGCAGTTAAGAGGTTGCTGTAATAGTCCAAGCAAAGGCTTAAAATGGCCTAAACTAAAGCTGCAGCTATTAGAAAATAGAGAACACATAAAAAATATTTAGAAGATAAAATCTATAGGACTGAGTGATTAATATGATGGAGGGTGGCAAGGAAGATGAAGGAGACTAATATTTTTTTAGATGCGAATTTCCTTTTATTACAACATAATGTAAAATCCCATGCTTTTCAGAACACTTTCTTACATTTATTTTATTTATTAATTTGTTATTTATTTTTTTATTATGGTGACATTAGTTAATGAAATCCAGTAAGTTTCAGGTGTATAATTTACCTGTAAGGCATATATATATTGCATTGTGTGTAGAAGGGGCCTAATTTTTAACTTGGGAGATAAGAGTAGACAGAGGGTGTCACTAAGAAAGATAGGGAATTCAGGAGGAAAAGCAGATTTAAGTGAGGTGGCAAAAGTGGGTAAATAGAAGATAATTGTTTCTTTTTGGTCATGTTGAATTTGAACTGTCTGTGGACACTGGGAGTATAATAGCTAGTTAGATAGATGGCTTTTGGGCATATACTTAGATACTATCCCCAAAGTGTTTTTTCCTGTGCAGATGTCCAGGGAATCAAGTGCCTTCAGTGCCAAAGGACTTTTCAAAAATGCCAAATTCTCATCTGAGATGCTGTAGTCCATTCTTCCTCTTGGAAGTGTGTTAGCTGAACTTTGCTCACAGGAATGAAAATAGTAACCAAATGTCCAGTAGGGACTTTGAGTTAAGATTTCAGAAAGAAGAATTAAAGAGAGACTATGACATAATTTTGTAAAAAAAACTCTTATGTTCTGTCATGTTTTTATGCTTAAACAAAAGATCTGGGTGATTATCTTAACAGCCAGAAAGGTGGTCTTAGGAAGTTTATCTCACTCAATAGCTTGTCTTGTGGGAGTAAAGAGAACCATGGAAGGAGATGCTGATGGCAAGGCTAATAATGACAGTATCACTTATCGGGCTTTTAAGCACTTCATAAATTCTATCCAACTTAATTATAACAAAACTCTATGAGGTAGGTACCCTAACCAGTATTTTTCAGATATGGCCAGTGAGGTTAAACAATTTTGCCCATGGAAACATAAGGGAGGGGGGTTGAAAAGAGAGATTTCAACTGAGGTCTGCCTATTTTAATGTAACATCTGTGCCCCTAGCACTGCTTTCCTAAAGATGCAAGGAGGCAGCAGCCTTCAGAGCAGATGGCCAGCAGGGGTAGGAGAGTCTTCAGTCTCCCTGGTCCCAGGGAGAACCCTTAGGGTCTTTTGGACTAGAATTTTCAGCAATTCTTGTACCTCCATTTATTAGCTCAATCCTGAACATAATCCATCAGGGGTCAACAAAGTGAAATTCCTTCAGAGTGAATGGACAAAGATTGCAAGTCATCTAAATATGCTATATAATACAAGAGAATGTTGTAAGAACTGATAAACCATAAGACATGACAGTTCATCTCAAATACATAAAGAGCTATTATATAGAAAAGGAATAGAATTTACTGTTTTTTTTTTTTCTCTAAATCTAAGAGTAATCCATGTTATGTGAATATGTAGGATAAAAATTTCATCAGTGGTAAGTATGTAAACATTGAACATTCTGGTGGACAAGGACTGAAGGTAACAAAGACAAATGAAATGTGCTTAGTTGATTGTATTTTGGCCAATTTGTGTCTTGGACATTTTTTTTGGTATTTTTCTGCAAAAATAAAAGCAAACATAAAAGAAATACCAATGTTAATAAAAAAGGACATCACTTCCATTTAACAAAAAGACATGAATTAAAAATAGTATCGAGCACTAGTAGGGTCTCAGGAAATAAGATCTCTAGTACAATTTGACCATAGTAAATTCGTATATACTTTCCGAAAAAAATTTTGACAAACTATATAAAAAACAATAAACAGTAACAACCTTTTGATGCAGCAGTTCTATTTTGAAGACTGTATCACAATAAGGACATATGCAAAATTCTAGCTAAAAGTATATTCACTGAAGTCTTGTTTACAATGTATAACAATTAAAAATAACGAATGTCTATTAGTGAGTTTGGTTCAGTAAATTATCCATACAATAATTGAAGAAAGCGGTTAACTAAATACTCTGCATGGTATGGTCCTATTTTTGTTAAAAAATATTTTATAGGTACATATATATACATGTATAATATATACTTATATTTAGTGGTTGATGTCTTTTTGTTTATGTGTATATCACATTTAAAGTTTACTGATTTTGTTACATTATTTGTATTGCTTACAATGCAAAGCTAAGTTATTTAAAACACAATATGAGCTTTTCTCATCTATTAAATATGGAATTTAAAAATGGATTAGATAATACAAAGTTTACTCTACTTAGTCGTTGATCAATATTAGTTCCTCTCTCTATCCTAGTGACAGGAGGTATTCAAGTACAAGTCAGAAAATGGCAGATCTGGGATGTAGGTGAAGAGATTTAGGCAACAGGTTTGCATCAGACGACGTCTAATGCTCAGTTAATCATGACATTTCAAGATTAACACAATTCTCTTCTATTTACCTCTTAAACAATTATAATACAAAGAATATTATATGTATAAAATATAATTAAAGTTTGTACTGGATATCTAGTAACTGTTGTGTTACTATCACCAGCTCTGTAGATTGTGAATGGAGGTGGGTAGTGTGAAAAAATATCCGGCACCACCGAGGGCCCATGCAAATGTCAGCCCACCTCCTCATAGGCAACTCTCTGGCTCCCTTTTTTTGTGAATGAGCGGTGATCCTTAGGCCTCAGATTAGACAGTAAGCAATAGAACTTAAAAAAGGGAATTACTTTCTTTTCCCAAGGAGCTGCCAGGTGGACTAACACAGAAGAGTGGAGCGCCCTTTCCAACAGCCTGCGAGCGTCGGGGACATTCAGGACACTCAGATTCAATCCGTAAGGGACAACTGGGTATCTCTCTCTAGGAACAGAGGGCGCGAGGCATGTGGGCCTCTCCTGGCTGGCCTCCCTTGGCCTTCTCCGCCCAGCCCCCGGAGGTCGCGCTCCCTGGGGGGTACCCCTCGGGGGTGGGCGCGGAGCAGGTGGTCTCCACAGGGTTACCTCGCGGCCCCCACGTGCGCGCTCGTCCCGGAGGCAGGGGCCTTGGGCGGGGGGCGGGGCGCCAG